ATCCATCTTGATTGTGTAAGCTTTGTTTCTATCTGATTGAATTGTGACAGAATTCTTTGTTATCATCTCATGCAATTTCAGAAATGATATCTGACAAGATACATTTCAGACTATCAGATGAAACTTCTTCTTTCTCAATTTCTCATTCAACTTCTTTAAAAGATCTGATAGAGATGCAGTGATTCTCACAAAGTTCTTTATAAATCACTGATAAAATGTGACAAGATCTAAGAACTGTCAAACTTCATGCATGTTCTTTGACACAGATCATTTTATGATCACATTCATCTTTATCAGTAGTGATCAGATGATCCCCTTCTCAACAATGTGACTACAGTACTTGAGCTCATTCTTTAAAAAGATGCACTTGAACATCTTAGTGTACAACTTGTGTGCATGAAGCTTGTTAAATACTTTCTTCAAGTGCTTGAGATGTTCTTTCTCAGATTTTAAAAAGATAATAATATTGTCAAGATACATCAGGCAAAAGATACTGATATACTTTACTAGAATAATGTTCATCATCATTTAAAACAAGAACAGAGTGTTTATGTGTCTGAAAGACATAACTAGAAACTCATACTTTTCTTATTGAGTATTGAAGACTGTCTTTTCTATTAATAGTTCACTCATTTGAACTTGTCAGAAATCTGCTGTTAAGTCAACTTTCAACAAGATCTTTGCAGTTTCAATAGTGTTCAGCAGTTTCTGTATTCTAGACAGCAGATACTTATTTTTCTTAATGACTTTATTAAGAGCTTGATAATCAACACACATTTGCCATGCTCCTCCTGCCTTCTTCACAAATAGAACAGAAAAACTTCAAAGACTAGTTAATGATCAGATCAGTTCTTATTTTAAAAGATTGTTGATTTGTTGCTTCTGTTCTCTCAGAAGTGCTTGTGATAGAGAATAGAGATGAATATTTATTGAATTTAAATCCCTCATGTCAATATTCATTTTAAACAGTTGATCTGATGGAAATTTCAGTGATAAATTCTTCTGGAAAACATCTCTATACTCATTGAGCAACTTTTTCAATCTAGAATTCTTGATAGAAGTATTCTTCTTCTCTTCTTCTTCTTTTTTCTTGAGCACATATAGAAAACACTCTGTTGTAAACTTTTAAAGTGCATGTGCTAACTGATGAGCTGTCATTAGATTAAGTCTTTCAGCTTCAGCTAGCACATATTGTCACATGTCACAAGACAGTATTGTGTGGCACTGCTTTCTTCAATCAGTAATTGACATCATCAACAATTTTCAGCTTATGTGCAGATCTCAATGCTGCAGTCACATCTTTTCAAGAATCAGATCATATTTAAAGTTGTTGAGAACTCTTGCAGTGATTTGGCATTTGAATGAGCTGAGTTTAAAATAAAGATAGATTCAATGATTGGATCACATATATCTTCTGTTTGATAATTGAATAACTTTTCTCAAGAGAATGAGCTTTGCTTCTATTCTTGCTGCTAGATCTTAACTGACAAACTCAATTGATACTTCTGAATTCAATAAAATCTGAATCATTTCAGCTCTATCAGAACCCAGTGTTACTATCTTTTCTTAATAAAGCATCATTTCTGATTCTGTAGTATTGAGGTGTTCAGCATCTGTTGAAATTGTTTCAGTATCAGAGAGTTTCAACTTAAGAACTTCTGCTGAATTCAGTGAGTTGAGAAAATTGAAGATCTTATTAATTTAAGAGATTTTATAAAGAGTGTCAGCAAGTGTCTCTATATTTACTGACTTCTCTCATTTTCTGATTCAGATTTTGCATTGTTCTTTTTCTTTCTCTTTCTTTTCAGATGCTTCTTATCTGAATTCTTTTTATCTGAGCATGTGTCTGCACCATGACTTCTCAGATTATAAATATAACAAGCTTTATTTCTACAGCATCACAGTCACCACACTCATGAGTTCTTCTTCAGAGAATTTGGTCTTTGAAGCATTGTATTGATTTTATTAATCTCTATATCATTAAGAGTCATGTTCATCACACTCAGATTTATTGCATTGGAGTTGAAAGTCTCAGTATAATTTCTTCAAGTCAGTCAGTCTTTTACTGTCTTCATGACTTCTTCTATATCTTTCAACACTTTCACAATAGCATCTCTTGTCATCAGCTTTTGATATTCTCATTTTCATTCTGCTAGAACATTAAATTTCAGTCTGTTCAATAGTAACTGAATATAGACAGATTTCAGTAGAGAGTATCTGAGTTTGATGTATATCTGATTGAGTTTGATTAAGAAGAATTGAACATCTTCTTTTTGTTTAATGTTTACAAGATACTTTCATCAGTAGTTGTTAGCATTAAGCTTGAAGTATTATGTCATGATTCATTTTTTGAATTCTTGTCACATTATTGACATTGTGTGATTGTTTGAGTCTCAGTCTGCTAGATTTTCTTCAGCTGCTCATTGTTGAGCTGCATCTTTAGTAAGTCAAATTAAGACTAGAATGACTTTCTGAGAGTTGATCACTTCTCTTTTAATAAAAATTTTCTCTTGATTTCAGTACAATCAGTATTTAAAAAGTCACTTGTTAACTGTATTATTAATTATCTTTCTGTTGTATTCTTTTGATTTTTCAAGTTCAGAGACTTTTCAGATTAATGTCTTTTCATTAACAATTAATGCATTAATGATCAGTACATTCATGAGCAGTATGCTAGCAGTTAAAGCATTAGAAAGTGATGTAGACTGTATCTGTTCATTCAATTGCTTGATGAAGACAGATTGCTATTTCTTCAAGTTATTCAATCACTCAATCATTTCTTTTCTCATGTGTTGAATTTCATTTTTCATGTCATCTTAAATTCTGTCAGCTTGAATCTTTCTCTCTTGTTATTCAATATATCATGCTTCTGTCTCAAACAAGCATAAAGCTGTTTTCAGTTGCCTATCTGCTGCAGCAGACACTTCATCATTGATCATGCATTTTTATAGAGCTGTCAATGCATCACAAATTGTCAGATGCTTCAGAGGGTTTGATTCAGTAAAACAGCTTGAGATAGAAGTCAGAACTTTAGAGCCAGTTGAAACTTCAAGACTGGAAGTCATTTTGATATCATTCAACATAGATGTGATAGTAGATATTGAGGATTGATAATTATTGTGAGGTATAATAAACAGTTATCTTGCAGTCATGCTGCATGAATCTGATTAAAAAGAATGAGATATTTATCATCAAAGAAAAAACTCTGTTAAAATTCTGATTTGTTGAGACAGTCTCATGAAAAGAAGTCTCATCAGTAATCTTTCAGAATCTTCAAGTTGAGTAGCAAAAGCAGATTCTCAAATCATAAGATAGAATCTTTTGACTGTCTCATCAGAGACATTTGCTTCACTAAAGAGACTTTGCTTCTGATGGGGAGAACTTGACATGCTATCAGATGTAATATGAGAATGAAAGATAAATTGATTCCCCCATACTGAAGAAGAACTAGACTATCTATATATATGTACAACAGTGGGCCTGATGCTGGTAGGCATTGGGGACCATCAGGCTTTTGTAGGCAAGAGCTTATGCCCAATAGAGACTAGACTAGAAAAGAAATATACAGTACTATACAATAGACAGTACTGAAACCACAGACTGAAGATATGAGAGAGTGAGAAAAATATATCAGAACATGTGAATGATGACTTGTCAAGAGCATGAAATAAGAAGATCTATAATCAGAATATCTGACATGAGAATATGTCTGAGTTTTTCAGAAGAATAATATTAGAGTCTGACATGAAGTGATAAAGAAGCATCAGACTTGAAGATATGTGATCAGATTCTTCAGATAACTGCTGTTAGTAGAGCAAGAGAGTATATATTGCATGATCACTCCAGATCCCTCTTTTCTTCATTATGTTTAGTATTTTCAAATTAGATCTATCTAGTATGGCAGTTTATTAGATTCTTCTTCTTCTATTCTTGCATCTAGCCTGAGGTTGTATCACTTCCTCAATTTGATATTCAAGTTCACTGCCCTAAAGCTTGCAAGAGACCATCAACAAACAAGTGAACAGAACCACATTGGCTTCATATTTACTGCTACCATCTGTCAAAAAGAACCATCCTGCTCACCTGCAAAACATGAGCTCAGGCTCTCATAACTATCCTGAGACTGTTATACTTACTAGATTTGCAATTCTCCTCAGTGAATGTTTGGATCAGTCTCAAATTACCAGAAGTGTGAGAGTAAGTATGCATCAACACTGACTGTTTGCGAACAAGTGGAGATGAGAATGTGGACAGGGAGAAGCTGCCGGTTGTGCCGGACAACTGAGATGGTTCCTTCAAATCGGTCCAAATATCAGGGGTTTTGGGAAGGGCGTGCCTCATCCTGGGGGTTTTTGGGAAGGGCGTGCCTCCCCGGTTCTCATTCGGGTTCGGCGCGGGCTCCCCAATAAAATACGGATACCCTCAATCAGGGTCCCCATGCGCTCCTGATGCAGAGTTGCCCTTCTTCCCAATCTTCACCCAACATTGTTGAACCAACAGAACTTCGGCCAGCTCTCTCAAGATTTGCTTCAAGCCCTGGGTAACTCCAGTACTAATTGGAGCCGGGCCGACATGGCAGTTAGCCCGACTCTACTTGTATCCTTGTATGTAGATCGTGAGGTTGATTCTGGACGAAGTTCCATTTTTCACAACAAACCATGTCCAAAATATGCATAGCCGGTTGCATTTGGCACCAGTGTTCCTTTTGGGAATGAATAATACCCCTTCCCTCAAGTTCCCTTTTCCCTTTGAAGTTCATGAACAGTGAAGGATCCTCGTGTATGCCGCCAAGGGTCAGAGTTGCATACAGTGCTGTTGAGGGGACCGCTCCTCTGCGCATCTTCCATGGTTCGGGAGAACTGAGAACTCCGTGGCCTGATGAAGGGGTGACAATGGCATGCTATATAAGACCATCAATTGCTCTCACCTTCCTCACTGGGGCACCTCTGCGGTCCTAGAATTCAAGTCCACATTCAAACCACGCCTACTAAGTCTTCAAAATGCGGTTTCTCCAACTCCTCACTCTCCTCCTCCCGGCCAGCTTTGCTGCAGCCGCGGTTGCACCTGCTGCACCTGCTGCTTCCCTCACGCCCCCAGTTGAGGTTTGGGTTCCTTATCGATTCGAGGGCGGTTTTCATGTCTTCGAACATGGTGGCAACCGGACTCCGCGCCAAAACAACACCGTCAATTACATCCAGTTCGGTGCGAGAGACCCGTATACGAGCAACCAATGGTCATTCAGGTTGGCTGATCCCTACAACGGAGCGTACGTTCTTTCGTATGGAAGAGGGGGATATTTCAATGCCGAACCGAAGTCCGGTACACTTGTGACCCTCTCGGATAGGTCATGGAGTTTTTTCAAACTGGTTCTTAATCCTAATGGGGTCTGGGATATTGAATTGCTCGAGCGACCGAACGGTGAACGCTTTAAGCTTAGTGTTGGTCACGCTGCTGGCCATGATCCGCGGGCTCCGCCTGTCTTGCGTGTTTCGAAGGAATCCTATGGCTTCGGGTTTTTGCATCCGCCCATGGAATGATAGACTATGACTCGAGTAGTCGAGGATTAGTGGCAGAGAGGTGATTGTGGCATAACAGATATCAATATGTACAATTCTCAGCGGTTGAATTGCGGAGGTATCCTCAATACGGGTTAGGGGATGGATGTTGCTGGCTGCAATGTTCAGAAGTTGAAGAGAAATGACTGTTCTCAGTCCTTTGGGTTTTTCTTCTTGAGTGCTCCCATTGATTTTGTTTTGCATTGTGGTGTAGGATACTCTCAATGCCTGTATCGCACTCTGATGCAGTTCCGCATGACAAAGTGAAAGTTAACTACTCCGTACTCCATAACTAATTAGTTAACTAGTTAACTAAATAAACATGACTTCGCCAAGCATCTGGGGCTCAGCCTGGGCGAGCTCATCTATGATGTAACTAGTTATGTAGTTAACTGACTAGTTAACTAACTAAGTTGACAGTTAACTAGTCCAGTTAAACTGCCCCAGCCTACGGAGTAGGTGTACTCTGTACTCTGTACTGGGGGAAATTCACATAATAACCTGTATCCTCTCCAAACCTGGTGTTCTGGTACTTTGAACACATTTTAACTAGTCTAACTCGATTAGTTATTCAACTGGTTACCACACAAAATCAAGGCTACGGAGCTCTGATTTAAGCCTTGATTTCTGAATTTGTAGTCGTCTATTCTGCCTATGGGCCAATCTCAGTCATCTAGAGGTGACAATTCTGTCAGAAACCATGGCGGCTCCAACACTGATTTCTATCTCATTTTGGGAGTGGATCCCCTGGCAGGAGCAGAAGAGTTTGTTCCCAGCCTCAAATAACCCCTAATTTCCCTGCTAACCACATGATTAGGATAAAGAAGGCGTATCGTAAGAAAGCGCTTGAGCTTCATCCAGATAGGAACTACGGCAATGTGGAAAGCTGTACTGCGCGTTTCGCTGAGGTACAGGCGGCGTACGACGTTCTGTCTGATCCGCAAGAAAGGGCTTGGTATGACTCACATCGAGATGCAATTCTTTGCAATGCCAGCGGCTCCGAGGGAGTGTGTGTGGATTCTCGATGGACCCAAACCGATGATATTTTGAATTTAATGATGAGATTCAATCCCCATATGGAGTTTTCCGACTCCCCTTCAGGCTATTTTGGTGGTCTTCGAAAAATATTCGACCAGTTGGCTCGAGAAGAATCCGATGCTTGCACTATGGACGCCCTGGAACCAATCGATTACCCGTCATTTGGTTATAAAAATGACGGGCTCGAGATAGTGCGCCAGTTTTATGGAGTATGGGGTGGGTTTTCTACCAAGAAATCATTCTCGTGGAAAGATGTGTACAGATATTCTGAAGCGCCTGACCGACGGGTCCGGAGATTGATGGAGAAGGAGAACAAACGTTTAAGAGACGAATCAAGCCGTGAATTTAATGATGCTATCAGGTCTTTTGTAACTTTTGTTAAGAAGCGAGATCCTCGACTTAAGGTGGCTGTTCAAACTGATATTGAGCGTCAAAGCTTGCTCAGGGCTTCCGCTGCAATGCAGGCTGCTCGCTCTCGATCGGCGAATGAGGCAAGATTAGGGGAATATTCAGTCCCAAAATGGGCTCAACGGGAGGACCTGGAGGAAGATTTATTCAGCACAGAACCCGAGACCGATCGGTGTCACTTTGACTGTGTGGTTTGCCACAAAACATTTAAGAGTGAAAAGCAATTCGAGGCCCATGAGCGGAGCAAAAAACATGCTAAAGCATTAAAACAACTTCGCTACGAGATGGAGATCGAAGATGAACACTTCCGAATAGATCATTCTGACCCTCAAAGCGCTGACAACCTGCAATCTAAAGAGGCCGGAATTCCATCGTCCGCTCACAGCGGTGCTGACCACAATAGCGTGATGGCCGCCGTGGACGGCTTTAGCAGACAGGCGTCTACAAATCTCCAGTGTTTTGGTGTGGGAACAATGTCAGCCGCTGCGGAACAGGCTGAAGATTCAAAATCCACACCCAGAGAAGCTGTTCAACAGCACCCCATCGATAGCCCCTTGGAACGCATTGACCATGGCCTAGTGGATCAAATTAGCCCATCCTCTGCGGATTCTTCCGTCTCCGATGCTGGTTTGACACCTGCATTTCCTGAGAAGATTGGGAAAGCAAAACAAAAACGTGCCAAAAAAGCTATCCAACATCAAGCTCAACAAGCCTCGTTTATTTGTGCAACTTGTGGATGCTTATTTCCATCTCGAAACAAGTTATTTTATCATCTTGATAAGGAAAACCATGCCCTTTCTTCAGGGAAATCTCGTCCACAAGGAAAGAGGTCGGGGGGAAGAACCCCAAAGGCTTAGTATCTTGTTATTTTATCAAGCGAACGGAAAGAGTATGGGGCTTTTCAAAGATTATTTACGTTAAACAAGCAGCTAAAACCAGGCATTGGATGGATCAGGAACCGGCCAATGGGGCAAATTGCATCATCCCAGACAAGCTTTATTTGTTTTAACAACATGTGTTACTGGGTGTAAAATCCCCTGACTGTTAACTGCTCCCAGAGTTGATCCATTTTTCCATCCCATTTTCTCTAACATCATCCGACCCCGGTTTTCGATGCCTAGCTCAGGCGCTGATGCTCCGACGACATCACCATCCATATACGAAGCCGCTTTTACCCCGTTCCGGCGAACTCTGGTGCTAATTTGCCGAGTGCTAGATATCCGGGTATACAAAGCGTCAATTTCTTTGATGGACTCGGAGTCTGCCGTGAATGTTCGAGAGGTTTTGGTTAATACAGGAAAGCGACCTCGTCCATGTCCTCGGGACTGCGACTTTAACGACAATGAATTGGCTAGCTCATGGACAAACTTTCGAGCTTTCTTATCCATCGGTGGAAGGGCGAGCCTGACGTCGATCTTCAATCAGCAACTCCCCATTGTCTAAAGATTGGAACCAATATAACGATAGTGGAATGCAACAGGGGGGACATACGTCTGAGTCTGTGATAGCAAGAACTCGTTGATTTCCCGCTTAATGTTATCAAGAGCTATGCCATTTGAGTATTTGGCGCCCAGGTTAATTTGCCCTAGCTTAGAGCCAAGTTTTCCCTGGGCGCGCAATTCTTCTCGATGCTTTTTAGCTTTACCCTTTTTTTTGCGGTCGTTTTTCCAGGATGCCTGCAGTTGCCACTCAAGATCACTGTCAGATAAATCGAACGTTGGGACTTGTTCCCGTTTGTATTTCTGTTTTGCCTTTTTTAAACTCGGGCGTTCAAAATCCATAATGTCAAATTCCCCGTACGTATCTAAATCCAGCGTTAAGGTAGATGTGGCCAGAAACTTTGAAATCTGTCGCTGGTTCACTCGACATTCCGGTGAGGATTGAGCAAGAGACTGTTCGTTGTCGTTATCGTCTCGAATGTTGTTTAGGGATTCAGCATGAAAACCCGCGAAATCCTCTGATGATATATCGGAGCTAACCATTCCGTTTCTAATGGCTGAACTAGGGGAAGCACGTCCTTGACTTTTGGTATCAATTTTGTTTCCTCGTGGCATAGGGTCAGCCTCCGAAGGCGAGTATCCCTCATCCGACGAATCCTCGTTTATGTGCAATAGATAGTCCGCTATGACCGCGTCGGAAATGTCAATCTCATCAGCATCTGCGGGTCTTAATTGCGGGAGATTTGGTAAAGGGCCTGTCCCTGCTCTCAGTATCTTGTGAATGGCAATACCTGGGTCTGCTTCGGTTGGGTTGACCATGCTTAGAGAATGAGGTGGCCTGTAGCAGAGGAGTAGCAGCCACTGTGTAATTAGATTCCTTTTTTTTAATCAATCGACCAATGTTCCTCACACCTCTCCTTCCAGTGAAAACGACTTCATCATCAGATTCATCGGAACTCGATCCGCTGCTCGAGGGCATGGCAACTGATTGCGGTTATCAAGACCCGAAGTATTTGAGTGTGGTTGAGCAAACTCGAAAGGCTTCAGATCACTATGGGAGCAGTCCGATGAACGTAACATCTCAGCATTTGCTATGGACTCTGCCAATTCCTCAAGCATTGCTGGATCATCTGGCTTGATTTCCCCAGCGCTAATAAACTGTATCCCACTATATCGCAGTTTTCGTGCTTTCCTTAGAGAAAAGGATTCCGCCTGCAGTGTCTCCTCAGTCATCTGCGGATTATAAGGATCTAGAACAAGATAGACGATACAAGTTAGGAGACTAGCATTCATCGAGCTCAAAGCCAGGACGCAGCCCACCTAGCATGCCACCTTTGTTTTATCGGCTTTTGTTAGCATTGCTGAAGCATTATTATTCTGGTCAATGCATACCTTTGCGTCGGCCTGATTTTTGATGGGAGTTCATGGTGGCTTTCTTTGCTTTCCCCATGGTATATTAATACTGGGATTTTGCAAGGTTCTTCTGATAAAACTATTTTCTGAGTCGTCGTTGAAGACTTGCGAGGAGGCGACTGCCCGACAACCTCATGATGAAAGTGAACCTACGCCATTCTGCTGACTAATTTGGCGGAGATGGCTTCAATGGAAGTGGGGCAGAAAATCACATTAACTCTCCGTATGAATGAGTTATTGGTTATTACAGAGTACCCTGGTAACTCTGTACTTGTTGCTGCTATAATTTGCCATTTTCATTATACTTTAGTTACACTTTTTGCAGTCTTGACCATGCTCTGCTATCTCTGAAGATTTCTAGATCAAAGTTCACATCTGTGCGATACCCCTGGTGCTTCACCAGAATGAAGGTCCTTACAGCAAATTTTATATCCTGTGCAGTGAAAAGTTGCAAAGCCTCCCCGTCCTCGTTCCCTCTACACTTCCATGATGCAGAACTTGAGCAGCAAGAAGTCAAGTTCTCGCCACAGTTCCTTTGCAATATCTTACCGCGAATTGACTGGGATGCACTCCGCATAACTGCAAATGAAGTAAGGAATTTACTTGCCCTGTATTGCCTGTTCTTTTGCAAAAACAGCAGCATGAACGTGGTCCATTGGGTCCTAGTTGCGCTCCGCCGTATTCAATGGGTGCTGATACCGGTGAATTAGCTAGGATTTGCGACTCTGGCTGATACAAAACCAGAAAATGACCACTTAAACAACGAACAAATGCTGCGAGACCTACACCGACTTCTGCTTGAAACCTCTGTTATTGAGGGTAAGCTCGTCTGCGGTAATTGTGGACATGAGTATAGAATAAAGGAAGGGATTGCCAATTTCCTGTTGCCAAGCCACCTAGGTATATTCTCCGCTAGCCACCTGGATTTCGGACACAAAATTCAAGCAAGAGTTTTGAATTGTTACTTCTATTTTCGCCTCCTCTTTCAGTTTAACTTCACTACTAACGGTTCCCTTGCTCCTAGTTTGACTCTAATGGGTGATAAATGAATAGCTAAATTTCGGAGTTGGGGCATTCACTGAGCCTTGAGGCACAACTTGGAGCGATTTTCGTTTTCTGCAACCAGCCCAGCTGGTTTCATGCTAGTGATAGCAAAGAGACAGAAGAATTTCCCTAGAACGCTTATGGTCATGATTGTAAGGTACCTAGTTGCGGGTTGGAAAGTAGGGGATCTCAGCAGGTTCAAGGCGGATCCTTGTGTGTATTTCTGTCGAGCACTGTTACCTACAACTGGCTAGGTAACTCATGATGGCACACACTCCGACCGGAGTCACAATGAAAATAGGGCTCAAGTAGGATAGTAATGATCGAATATTTGTGCCTCCACAGCTCCACAGCTATAGGCGGTTCGCATTCATTCGACAACTGGAAGTGGTTATTCTACTGAATATTATGTAGACGAGGTACATTACTATATCCTATCATTCATACGCAAGATTCGAGGCAAGAAATAAACGCGATATCGCTATGAGAAAAGTAATGTTCTCTTGCTAGCATCCGGAAAGTCACAAACATGTCTTTGTACGGATATGCTATTGGCATTTCAGAGATGCAGCGGCCAGGTACGGGACTTCGGATAATTGAGCGTAAAGCGGGGGTGACCAATATACTCGAGTTCCCGTTCAGTTGAGGAATCCTTTACAGCCAGCAGAGCCGCAGAGGCATGGTATTCTGTCATCACTGTCCCATTCTCGCTCAAATTTGTAATCGTAGGTAAGCTCCTCATCTGGCGAAGAACAATGATTAGACTGACGGAGTATGAAGGCCCGTATAGGGGGAACTCACCTCGGTCAATATCTCGAAGCGCATAAATGACTATGCGCTTGCTACCATCGACTTTAATTATTTTAGCTGTACAATTCGGAGTGCAGCTATGATTAATGAATCTCGCAATACCACCCCTTTTCGTTGCGTCGATAACGGTATTTTCGTCAATCCGAAATAAGTAGCTGCTCCCAATTCCGCTCTTCAAATACCTCCTTTCGCGCATGTCGGCGACCTGCTGGCGAACCTTCTCTCCAACATACTCAATAATCATATCATTGGCCGTGATGTTCTCCTCGGCGTATAACCCCCAGTTATGAATTGCTGACCGAGCAAATCTAACGGGTTTTTTACGCTTCTTCAGCTGATTAAACCTCAAGACATCGCTATCACCATTTTGCATAGGAAGCGCCTGTTTTTGAGCATTGATGTCAGCGATGAGGCGCCGGTTATTTACACGGGTGGACCGAGATGTAGATTTTGAAAGGGATTTAGCGGCGAGAAGTCTTGCCGCTTCAGCTGCTGCTGTTTGAGGGTCGTTGTTCGCCCTAGCTAACCTCTCCTCTCGAGCTTTCTGGACTTTGATCCGATGGGGCAGATACTTAGATTTCTCCGATTCTCGAATTCTCCTTCTTCCCTCTGTTCTTGCTGAACCAGTATAATTCGGGACATAATAGCCGTTGACCTTGGTCTCAAAGTGGACAGGGCCTCTGTCGCCACAACGATTAATTGCTTTGATTTCTTTATGCTTCCAGGCCCAGGCAGTCAAGTTTCCAATATCCGCAACGATGCCTTCCGCTAAGGCGGCTTTAAGGTAACGTATATCCTCCTCGTCTTTCACGAGATTTTGCCAGCCGTCTAAGTCGAGTATCATTGAGTCATCATCTTCTGCTGTGGGCCGCGGCTCGTCCGTCGACACTCCCCATTCGACTTCCGGGCTCTCTTCTTCAAGAATTTCATCCGAAATTTCCACTTCCTCTGCCTCAACAGGTCGCAAACCCTCCTTGAATAACGACGATATCGTTGGATCAAGATTCTTTTGCTTCAAGGCTTGCCTCTCTTCAAAGATTTGCTTTTTGGACTTCCTTTTCGCTTTAGATTTCTTCTCTTTGAGTAGCGGAATGGGTATTGTGTCCAAAGTATCAATTGAATCACCTGGCTGCGAAAAGGAACGAGGCTCTTGTGGAATGTCCCGAACCATCGTTTGCAAATGTTTCGAGTCAACATCGAATAACTCATCGTCTTCTTTTCTCCGCTTGCGTGCTTCAAGATCATCGATTAATCGTTTTCGCTTTTTCGATGATGGTGGAAGTGCGCTGATCTCCAGTTCTAAAGCTTCAATTGCACCTTGCTCCCCATCCTTAAATCCAGGTTCGTCTATTAGGGTCTCTGATTCTGCCAATGGTGTTCGTAATGACAAATCTCCTTGGATGTCCTGAATCCGCTCGTCTTCATTATCGGATTCAGCAGATTCTAAACTTAATCGACTGAGAGGGCGACTTTCCACCTCCTCTGTGTCCCGGGGGAAGGAAACCTGCTGATCATCATCTGAATCTTCTGCTTCGTGCAATTGTTGAAGACGGTGGTATAACGGCCTAAACTCCCTTTTCCTTGGTTTTGCTCTGCGTCTTTCATCAATGAATACAGCGTTACCCGGGTCAAATCCTTTGACTTTTCTGATACGAGGGAGTGCTAACACATTCATATTGGAAGGCCCGAGCGGACGGTGATGACTGGGATATGCATCGGACGGGGAGCCCGCGATTGCGGCAATATTGTTAGACGAATCGATCCTAAATCCAGGTCGCTTTGCACCGTCAGGCTCCGGAATCCCAAGCTTTTGCCGCTTTGCGCTATGGCGGTCGGGGTCAAGAAAATCATAGAGAGCTGAAGCTGCCACACGCGACTTGACATCTTCAAGTAGTTTGTCTCTCAGTTCACTAATGAGAACACTGAGGGCCTCTCGCGTAGGATCGAGATTTTCCACTCGCAATCGTTTTTCTTCTTCAATATCTAATTCAGCTTCTTTTTCTAGTCTCTCCTTCTCTAATTTCCGTTGTTGCTCTGCTTTCAGGCGCTCGGGACTCGGACTTCTTTCGTAGCATGGATTCCCGTATGGCTGGCATTCCATGTTCATAACATAAGTGAAAAGCGCCGTCATGTGGCACATTTTGTAGCATCGCTCCGCTTCTAGTTCACCACGACGCGAATTTTCAAAGACAACATAGTAGCCGGTTTTGTCGCACCGAACAGCCTTCCAATCGTAAAGTTTTAATCGCCGCTCTAAGTGAGGAACTGTTGTGCTGAGAACCGGTACATAACAATGCGCAATGAATATATACGGGTCACGTTTTATCTGTTGCAGAACAGGTGCCTCTTCGACCCTTGAGGGCATCGGTGACTTCAAAATCCCTCGTGAACCATCGGAAGCTAGGAGTGAAGGGTGGAGGGAAGATTTGCCTGAAGGGCCTTTAGGGGCGGTAGGGGGAGGAAGGTTATCGCTTGACTGCTCGCTTTCTCTTTTTTGGCCGGTACCGATTGGCGGCGAATTATCGTTATTGCTCGTTAGAACTTTTCTTGTTTCTTCGAGGGCTGGAAATTCAGCTCTTTGGGAAGCGATAATTCTCGCCGCCATTCGGTCACTGACAGCGCCATTTCGATCTACCTCAACCCGAATTCGATGTATGCCAATTCGTTGCTCTTTCTTGCATTCAAGGTAGGCCCTTCTGACCGCTTGAGCAGCGGATATGGATATACCGCCGCGAAAAGCCCGGCTATCCTTGTATTTAATGGAACAAACACCGAGAAACCTGCCAGTCATCGGATCTGTTCGGTTATTGATGTCCGCAATCTCCCCAAAACTAGAAAATAGAGCGTTAATAGAGGTTATTGGCGTCAAAGGGTCAAAACCGGTTACTACTATCTGTGTTGGAGGGCCAGGCCCGACAGAGGTTGCAGGATCGTATGCCCAAGGTCGAAGGATATAGGGTGCCGGCCGGTACTTGGTCTTTTGCTTACAGGCAGAGCCCCGTGTATAATTTGCAACGCCTAAACGAGGATCGCATATCGACGTTTCCTTTTCGTCACTGATACCGAAAGGATCATACTGTGGCCTTCTCCGTTTATCTTTGGATAACTTCCTATCCAGGTCCGGATCATACGTTATTTTGTATCCCTTGATTTCATTTCTTGGTGGACGGGCTTGTAACCGTGGAGTGGGAGGGGTATGGAGTGGGGTTATCGTCACAGTCTCCGGCTTGTTAAGAGCTTCACAGGACGGGCGTGGTTGTGAGGGATCCGCGGAGTTTGGCTTAGAACCCAGAGGACTTCCAATCTTATCCGGAGGTGAAGAGTCGGTGCTTGTCAAAGGCGTGAGGACATCGGCATGTACTCCATTGGGCTTTGTAGATCCAACAGGCACGGCGACGGAAGTAGAGCTAAAGCCCAACGAGTCGGTGCTGAGGGGCCCAGAAGAAACTACCGCATTCGTATCACCGGGTCCGAAATTTGTCTCTCCGTGGGCTGGATGGAAAACCTGTTCGGGCTGTCCATCCACATCCCCATTTGTTGATGTATTCACCCCACCATCGCTTCCGGCGACAGATGGCAGACCAAGGCTTGAAGCGCTCTCATTCAGCTTAGGTTTGCTGAAGCTTTGTTTGTCTTGAACCGGCTTGCTACGCTTCTTTTGTAAAACCGACGGAGCAGTCGGGAAGAAGTCTGCGAAACCGGCTGGGGCGCGTGACATATTGAAGGAGCCGGCTATGGGCCTGGAATCAACAACTTATTGAGTGCAAACACCATCCTTAAACTCTGCGGACAATCAAAGCAATCCTTATACGCTGCTGCAAAGCAGGGTAGCCCACGAAAGGCAATCGGTTGCTCACCGCGCGAGCGTTCAAAAGGGCCCAAGGCGCGCGGCGTCGATGAGAAGAATCGATGCGAGAATTCAAAGGGACACACAGGAAAAGGGCAGCGGAGGGTTCGCTCGAAAATTGAAGAGATTCCAATAGACACTTCCCTGCATGAGTATTGGCTCTCAAGGGAGCAACTCACCCAAAAAAGACAGTATGGTAGCGCGATATCGACCAAAGAATTTTGCGGAGGTTTGGGTGTTGCTCCAAAGGATGCAGGATGTCTAGAGTCCCGAAGAGGCATAGCTAGTTTGCTGTGGCCAGCCAATTCAATGCGGGAAACCACTCGGAGCTCGTGAGTGGCTGGGCGGTTTGCTTGGTTAGTTACATAATCACACATTGTTTGCTAAATTTGCTCTTCTGTCAAAACTGGCAAACACAATCAGGCACACTTCCGCTTGAAGGAGTATCATGTACTCCGTATATCCGTCAGCATGCCCACCAGGCTATTGAGGATGGGCCTTTGAGATGGGAATATGGGGCTTGGCATTTGATAGACGCTGCCTCAGCCTGCCAATCTTACTATTATCAGCCATGAGGCTTTGAGCTCAGCAAGGGCTTCTAGGTCAACGACGTTTAATCGTTGAAGGGAGGAAAAAGGGACAAAGTTCGATTGGCCAATGCATCAAGGGCTGACTGGGCCCTGCCGGAACCATGGCAAGCCCAGTTTCATCCCCCAAGTAAACTTTTACTCCTAGCATCCGACTTGGCTTCTCGCAAACTTGCCAGGCTGCCAGGTACATACAATAAGGAGTGTATACTCCGTACAATGATTGGAGACATCGCAGGGGAAATTGGACTATCATGCCAGTTTTGCGCAGTAACTTATTCCTCAGAGATCATTTATCACGACAAAGTGGGGATACCTGCTATGATGATTAGCCACCACAGAGACACTAGCGTCTCCTTTTGGGCGAAGAAAAAGTGGGCAGAATGCCTATATTTAACCACCTGCTCTGAAACCCGAGCGGGATTTTAACTGGCTGTGGCCAGCACAGCCCAGAAGCTCTCTCTGTTTAAATTCACCAACACCGCATTTCCATTTCCCTTGTTCTTCCCCTCCCTTCCGGCATCAATCCTCAGTTTTCTCTGTCAAACAATTGCTGATCCATTTGTTTGTTAGCCTCGTTTCCCTCCTTTTCTCTTAGTCCAGGGGACCAACTACTCTACCTCCAATCGTTCTCTCCTGATCCTTCCTCTCGTTTAAAGGTCCAACCCCCCACTTGCTTGCTTCTGCCCGACCACCTTCCAACCCACACATTAATCTACCTCTCTCCTCGCCTTTCAGTGCGAAGCCCCTCTGTCTGCTTTGACCAGTCACTTGTCTGTCTGGACGGTAAAATCACGGTACTTGTACTCGGCATCGACTTGCTCTACAGCTGTTGACCTAATCCAATCAAAGAAACAACAACAAGAGCAACAACCATGTGGTAGGAATCTTGTCACAAGGAGCCAGTGCATGATTTCAGCTGCTAATCAATGGCCATGTAGCGGCATTTTCGGTTACATCAACTATCTTGTTGAAAAGGATCGCGCCTATATTATCCAAACCTTGCTCAACGGTAAGCTACCTGAGATTAGAAGGCTAGCTCGCCCATAACTAAAATTCGCCCTTCTATTCCAGGTTTATCCCGATTGGAATATCGCGGTTATGATTCCGCTGGTCTTGCCATTGATGGAGACAAAAAAAATGAAGTGTTCGCCTTCAAAGAAGTTGGAAAGGTAGCCAAGCTTCGCGAGTTGATTGCAAGTGCGGATCCCGACCTTTCTCAGGTTTTCGACTCCCATGCTGGTATCGCTCACACTAGATGGGCCACACATGGACCACCATCCCGGCTTAATTGCCACCCTCACAGGTATGCCTTTGTTTCCATTTTTATGTTCTTGCGCAACTACTATTCAAGAGACTTTCCAAATCCTAATTGTAATATACAGGTCAGACCCAACCTGGGAATTCTCCGTTGTCCACAATGGTATCATCACGAACTATAAGGAACTGAAGGCTCTTCTTGAAAGTAAAGGCTTCCGGTTCGAAACCGACACAGACACCGAATGCATCGCCAAACTCGCCAAGTACTTATATGACCTTCACCCAGATATCGATTTTACCGTGTTGGCCAAGGCGGTAATCAAAGAGCTTCAGGGTGCCTTTGGTCTTTTACTGAAATCGGTACACTACCCGCACGAAGTTATTGCCGCGCGTAAGGGCTCTCCTCTGGTCATTGGTGTCCGTACATCGAAGAAGATGAGGGTTGACTTTGTGGATGTCGAGTTTTCGGAAGAGGGACCCCTTCCGGCTGAAGAAGCGTCGCAGAATCTTGCCCTCAAAAAGTCAGCCGCAGCTTTGTTAGCTCCACCGGACAAGTCACTTTTGCACCGATCCCAATCTCGTGCATTCCTGTCTGATGATGGCGTTCCTCAGCCTTCTGAATTCTTTCTTTCTTCCGACCCCTCCGCGATCGTCGAACACACCAAAAAGGTCCTATACCTGGAAGACGATGACATCGCCCATATCCATGACGGTCAATTAAACATTCATCGTTTGACAAAGAACGACGGGACTTCAAATGTCCGTGCTATTCAAACTATCGAATTGGAGCTGCAAGAAATCATGAAAGGCAAATTCGATCATTTTATGCAAAAGGAAATATTTGAGCAACCCGAGTCCGTTGTCAACACAATGCGTGGGCGCTTGGACGTTGCGAACAAGAAAGTTACCTTGGGTGGGCTTCGTCAGTACATCTCAACCATCCGCCGTTGTAGACGCATTATTTTTATCGCTTGCGGAACCAGTTACCACTCGTGCATGGCCGTGCGCGGTGTGTTTGAGGAGCTCACTGAAATACCCATTTCTGTAGAGCTAGCATCAGATTTCTTAGACAGGCAGGCGCCCGTCTTCCGCGATGACACTTGTGTTTTCGTGTCTCAGTCAGGTGAAACCGCCGATTCTCTTATGGCTCTGAGATACTGCCTTGAGCGAGGTGCCCTGACAGTGGGCATTGTCAATGTTGTTGGCTCGTCTATCTCCCTACTCACTCACTGCGGCGTTCATATCAATGCCGGCCCTGAAATTGGAGTTGCTTCAACTAAAGCATACACGTCACAATTTGTTGCCATGGTGATGTTCGCTTTATCGCTCAGTGAAGACCGTGTCTCCAAGCAGAAAAGACGCGAGGAGATCATGGAAGGCCTTTCAAAGGTGTCTGACCAGTTCAGAGAAATCCTCAAACTTAATGAGCCCATTAAAGAAATGTGTGCCAAGTTCTTCAAAAACCAGAAGAGTTTGCTACTCTTAGGACGGGGTAGCCAATTTTCTACTGCATTGGAAGGTATGTGCAGAATCGATCTTTTTGCGAGTATCATAGCACTAATAATAGCTACAGGAGCCCTTAAAATCAAGGAGATCTCTTACCTTCATTGCGAAGCGGTAATGTCCGGGGAGCTCAAACACGGCGTGCTAGCACTGGTTGATGAAAATCTGCCTATCATCATGATTCTGACCCGGGATAAAATCTTTGCCAAGTCTTTGAATGCTTATCAGCAAGGTATGTTGAAGCATGTTTGCCTACTATTGTTTCGCTCAATGTTAACGCTCCCTGCAGTAATCGCTCGCGGTGGTCGGCCGATTGTTATTTGCAATACAGACGAAGATGAGTTCCCGGCATCAAGGGTGGAGAGGATCGAAATTCCCCAAACTGTGGATTGCCTCCAGGGACTTCTCAATGTGATTCCTCTCCAACTCATTGCGTACTGGCTTGCGGTCGCTGAAGGGCTAAATGTCGATTTCCCCCGAAATCTGGCCAAATCAGTTACCGTTGAGTAAATCGTGGAATTCCATCAAAAACTTCGATTGACTCGGGAAACCTTATTTTATGGTCGGGCTTTTACAAACAAAGTGAAGAATACAGGAACTGTTTGTTGCTACTAATGGAGCTAGTTTAGGTGTTTATTTAGTTTCCTGACGACCCTGTTATCTCCTTTCTATAGTTGGTTATCGAATATTACAGATGGATCAAATATAAATACTATTCCTTATCAGCTTAACTGACCATTGCCTATAGCAATTGCATGTAATGTACATACATTGTAAATCGGAAAAGATTACTCCGTATACATTCCCATTGATTTATAGTCTCAGGAATGTCCCACGAATAGTAAGGTTTGTCGTGCTATAGTTTAGCCGGGAGTCGCTGAGAGTGGATGACAACCTGCTCCGGGTTCGTTCCCTCGTATCATGCAACAACAATACTCAGTCGACATCCAAAAATGGCAACTCTTAAAGGCCCGGGACAAGCTGAAAATCATCATGGTCAGTATAGCCCTTTGAAAGTGCTTCTAAGATGCCACAAATAGAAGGTGTGGCTACAAGTTCGCAGAGGCGGGGGAATCTTAGCAACAGGCCTATACTGACAATCCAAATAGGCGCAAACCTCCGTGTCGCCATCGTCCATGCTCGCTGGAATAGCCCTATAATCGAAGCTCTAGTTGGCGGCGCAAAGAAAAGGATGCTCGCGCTAGGTGTTAAGGAGGAAAATATTATCATAGAAAGTGTCCCGGGGAGCTACGAATTGCCCTTTGCGGTCCAAAGGTCCTCTTCCTTATCCCTATCCTATTGCAACCAATTCTTTTTCCAAAACAGGATTCCCTATACCATTTACGGAGTTTTCGTGTGATAGTCACTCATTGAATCCGCAGAATTTATACAGCATCGCACGTGCAGGCAGCTTCAATCGCCTCTGGGACTGTGGGTAGCGCGACTACCGACCTTTTATCTTCGCCTACCTCAGATCCCAGAAAGCTTACTCCCGCGGCAGGCCCGAATCCTGATACCATGAGCCCACAGTTGGCCCCTGCAGCAACACCCTTTGATGCAATAATCGCCATCGGCGTGCTTATCAAAGGGGAGACAATGCATTTTGAATATATTGCCGATGCAGTTTCGCATGGCCTGATGCGTGTCCAACTTGACACTGGTGTTCCCGTTATATTCGGACTACTGACCGTGTTGACGGAGGAGCAAGGCCTAGTGAGAGCAGGGATGGTGAAGGATAAAGCTGGAAATCAGCACAATCATGGGGAGGATTGGGGTAGCGCGGCGGTTGAGCTTGGCGTCAAGAGGAAAGCTTGGGATGGGGGAAGGCTAGCTTAAATTTCTGTTCACCGGTGGGCGCTTATGTATCAATTGATGAGGCGGGAATATTCTGTAGTACTGTGTGAATTAATCATTCCTGAAAGCGGAGTAGCATTTGCAACATCGCTACTGAGAACCACGGGATAGGATTTAGCATTTCTATGACTACGGATAGAAAAGCCTTGAATAAACGAAGCCGCTGAAGAAGGAGGTAGACAAGAGTAGATGTTGGGCTACTCCTCCATTCGATCACCTTCTGTGGGCTTGGATTCGTCTTCTTCATCTTCTTCCTCGGATATCGCTTTTCTAGCGGCTTTTTCTGCCTCTTCGACCAGCTCCTTGGGTACCTCCATGTGCCTGCCCTTCGTGGGACCGTCTAGGGAGCTGATCCAGGTCATTTCTAGCTCGAAATCTTTGTCCTTGCTGTCTTCGTGGGCAATATAAATGATCCTCGCAGCCTCTTTAACCCCGTCGAGTAGAGTAAGATTTCCTGATGGCAAATCTAGTTTCTCCAACTCAGCTTTCGCGGCTTGTCGACCTTTTCCGGTGGCCGCACCGTAATAACCCTAAGTCGCGAAAGATAGGTCAGCGCACCAAAACGTGGGTAGCGTTCGAATCTTAGCATACCCAATAAAGTCCGCTAGGCTCTATCATAAACAATCCAGGTCCTCCGGCCTTCGCCTCTTCTACCTTACCACCGGCGCCTAGACATGGTCCCGCTCCAACCTGTCCATCAACGGGGAGCTCTGCCTCGGAATCCCAACCGCCCACTATCGCCGTGACGCCAAAGGGGCGAACGCTAGAATACAATGTATATGCTTGGACATACCCGCCAAGCCTATTGGCTAGCACTGCAGTTGGAATTGGCCCTTTGTATGTACCCCTCCACGATGCAGCTTCGTCTCTAGCTCTGGAAACGAAATGACGCCCATCAGGGGCAAGGCCGGCGGACACCTGTAGAGCCCGATTAGAATGAGAGCTCATTGGTCAGCGGCAAATTGTGAACTTCTGCTTTTGTTGCAGTGATTGAACGTGGTTGGGAGGTGACTGACTATGCCAATATTTCGATCGACGGTGGCTATTCTCTTGTTTGCGCCGGGCTTAAGCAGCTTACTCGATATTATTTTCTCGACTGCAAGAATCACGCCATCTTTGCATCTTATCCCAATTGCAGTGCCTCCATTTTCGACAGCTTTGACAGCGTATTCGACCTTGACGTGCATGACGGTTAGAATCAGATTGTAGCAACGACGAGCAAAGAAAAGGAAGCTCACCTGAAAATTTCGACCATCCGGAGAGAAGACAGAATTTGAAAGGTCATATCCTGTGCCTATTGACGTCTGTGCTTGCATGCAATATTAGTCCCAATCCTTTAAAGGAGCGAGATATGGAATTCAGACCATAGCTGTGGCTCAAGGTGCAGCAGAATTTGTGAGTCCTAGAGAATTTGCAACTGAATGGAGGAGTAAATGTGAATGTTGTGGAGGTTAGGCAACCTCACATCGGAGCTCAGTCAAGTCCTTGAGCTTACTGCTGGGATGGAGGTCGGCAATGCCAAACACACGTCACGGGACGGCAGCCTTGGCTGCCAGCTCCAAGCCACGTGATGGGTATACGGACCTACCTATTTCCGAGAGCTAACCGGAGGACCTCAGTCATCCATTAGCTCGCTAACTAACCTTCAATACACTTGGTACCCCGTACTCCGTAATTACACAGTTTCGCGTTCGTTCCTGAATGACTCCCTGATTATTAGTAAGCCAGTTAACTAAACAGTTACGTCACTCGAAATAGGAGGTGATGGCGGCTTGATTGATAAAAACGCCGCCAGATGAAAAGTTGAAAAGCCCCCTACCAGGCGACAAAATCGTGTCTCCTCTTCTTTCGAATGGATGCAGGATTATTTTGGTAAATAGATTTTCGTGGTATTCACGAGCCCAAAGGCGGCCTAACTACGGACCTACCTAAACCGATTGTTAGTTAGTGGCACTTGGGCAGACATCACCTGCCTGTTGAATTTGGAGCCCATTCAAATATTCCTCCTTGACATCCAACCTTTCCAGTACTATTCGGACAATATCCTCTTTTCAAGCCTCTGCCATTTAGAAGAGTCGTTGCAAGCACGCGCGGCCCGTCAACCATCACCTCGAATTCCTAATCTTACCCCCGCCTGCCCCTCAAGCCCTTCAAGGACTCTGCGTTTCTTCTATCGCCCAATCACTCCGGACACCTCACAAAACCAATATTTCGTTGGATCCCTATCGGTGCCTCCTCGCTTTTGCATTTGTTGATCGTCACTACCTTGAGACAGCCAAATTGTGGACTACTCCGTATGCATGTTCCTATAGCTATTGAGAGAATTACGTGAATACATCAATATCCTAAAAGTGAAGAACACATTTGCTTCCAGCCCCTATATCTTGATTGATCTTGCCTGGGCCAGTATAGTTGGTTGCCAATCTGATAACTCATCCCAGGGGAATTCACCACCTGAGCATGACTTCCATCCTTCATGCTTGCCCATACTGCGGGTATGAAACAGAAATCGTTAATGCACTTCCCGCATTCTCAGAGAACCCACATTGTCAACAGGTATGGAATTCTCCAAGCTTCGTGTTCGAAGTATCGCTGTTTGACAGCGGTGTCTTAGTGTGGATTGTCTGTCATGGAAAGCAATTGCAAGGTGGACCATGACCTTGCGGCCCTTTTCGCCCGCCAGATGGTAATGGTGCACGGCTCTCGAGACCATACTCCTATTCCTCCGGCAACACCCGCTACCCTCAATCCATCCGACTCTCCGATGCTCTCAGATCCACCCCCGATTGCATATAGCATTACCCAGCACTATCACCACTCTTCGCACCAAGCAATGGATTCCCAGAGGCCAAAATTGGACGTCCAGAGAACCCCAGTACAAGCGAGGCCCTCCATAATGGAGAACATGCCGCCCAATGAAATCCTGGCCCGACATAATATCAACCCAGGTACTTTGTTGCCGTCTCAGCTTACCCTATTCGAGCAAGCCGACATAGACCAGAAGGCGCGTCTACTTGAATTGTGGCAAATATCCCCTTCAACTTTCGGAAATATCTCATCTCTTCAAGCATCAAATAGCGCCGTTACTAGTGCAGCTCATAACCAGGGTTGCAATAAATATGACGCAACAAATGAGACGCCCGACTTTCAAAGTGATATTACAATGGATGAGGATAGCGCCGATTCTTATGATATGCACCATGCAGAGCCCTACGTGGTTTCGGGCTATGAAGTCCTGGCGCGGAGGGAATACGATGCATCTGCCCAGCCGCAATCTGAACTCTCGGTTTTGCCGATCAACCCCCCCACAGATGTTTATAAAGCCTCCACCGACCCGGCGTATAAAAAGGAAGACTGGTGGCAAAGCTCCGAACCTGTTGAGCATCAATACGGTGCGTTTGAGATGAAAAACTACTACATTGGCTGTGGGGTTGCACGGCCACATTGGCTCGAGGATCAGCCTATGTTCTGATGCATACTTGTGATTTGGGGAGCGAATCTACCAATCTGAGAAACATGGGGGCGATTTTATCCATGTTGTTCGCCGCGCAACCATTCAGGTTATGCAGGATTCAATAAATGATACCTTTATTTTGTTGCCCATACCTGACTTTTTCTTATGTTTATCATCTGTGATTTGTTATAAGGTGCCTGGCATATAACGTAACCATGATATTGGATATATTTAGTTTGACGTTCTTCTAACCACAACCTTGGTCACGTTAGACTTGATTTAGTCTCTATTGGCCTTTCCATGGGTAAAGCAGATATCTTACATTGAAGTCATTTGAATAGGTACATTCTCCGAACATAGCGACTGAAGGGCCTGAGCATTTAGTAGTTTCAGATGGTTGACTTGAGCGTTTATTGATGGAAATGAGACTGTTCAAGAGCATCCATCTCATTGATTTCTTAGGCAGGTGGCCTTGGCGGCCAGAGGAATTCGTTTAGGGCTGATATTAAGTTATTAGTATGGGCGCATTATTAAACAGGGTATTTATAGGAGAGGACAGGAGCCAGAGGCCGTGTAATGACCTACCCAGCTCAAAGTTGTCTTTTGTTCGGCATCGAGGCCCTCATAACCGGATATGAGAATATTCTAGGACCTTCAAGACTAAATGTATAAGAACTCAAAGCAGAATTCTGGACCACATAACCATATCTATCAGTCCAAGGCTGATGGAAACCATTTCCCCTGCATTCTACCCCACCAATCGCTCTTGACCACCACGGACTCCACCATTATCGGACGGGATCGAGGTGGAATTTGAGATCTAGCATCGATATTTTCGACCAGAGACGGGCGGGACGTTGAAAACATAACGTGTTTCGCTGAAAAAAGGTGATAATCCAAGTTGTGATTCAAGTCTCTAGCTGCCGATGCTAGCAAAAAGCCAGAAAAAGACATGACTAGCACGGCATGCCAACGCGACGGCACCATCTTTGCTGGACTATTCGCAATCAGCAACTTGATCTTGAGGAGTAGGGATCGGCAAACCATACTAGTCCGTTTAGTTTCGACAGATCCTGCCACATTTTCTCTATCATTCACGGGAGCAGCTAGCACGACGGCGGACACGGTGAGAGCGGTAAAGGCAAGGGTTAGGAGCTTCATGATTGCTGTCTTGCGGCTTATGGTACTTATTGTGCTCTCTCTGAGGGTACCAGGAAGCTAGAAAATGAAGCTGAGCAGCCGCTATTTATGAGGAAAAGTGCCGTCGAACAAGGGGCGAGGCTTCGTTGGCTTTGATAACTTGAGATACTTTGGAAGATACTCGATGTTCGAAGACAAAGAGAGCGCAGAAGCCACTGCAGAAGAAGCATGGTAATAAGATGCGAGCTGTGGGAGGAGTTCCATTGGAGTCCTACTTGAGGCCAGCTGCGGATCCTTCAATAAAAGATGATTCAGGATGATGTTATTCACGCCTCAAAAGAGGTGAGTAATATGGGGAGAAAATAGTCAGAATATGGACCTTGAACAAGTCAGTGGAAGTGCAGTATTGCAAGGCAAGGAATAACACGCATGGTTAGCTTTGGAACCTGGGATGTCCCAGGTTTCATAGCTTTGAACAGTGAGTCTCAAGGCTTGCGGGCATTCGCAGCAATGGTAAGATTTCTTAGAGGATATCTGCAACCAAGGACATCAGCCAAGGTGGGATTTTTGTTCTGAGCAGAACTATCCATAACTGATCAGTATAATTGGCAGTTATGCAATGTTCATTGAAAGCCGAATCGGTGCTTCAATCATGACAAGTGCCTTATTGTGAGTCCCTCCGGATTCGGGCCACAATAATGCAAGACAAGCGACCTGATTAAGTAATGACAGTGAGGTGCCAGCAGCAGCGGGACTCATCCATGGTTTGAGCCGCATGGAGTATGCAAGAAAGTGAGCTGCCTCATGGAGCCATTGTTTTGGTGGAAAAGGAAGCTCAGCAGTTCTGCACGAAGACAAGAGAGACTGAGAAGATTCAAGCATTGCATGATGCCTCAGTCGCCCTCCTGGATAAGGCTGAATGAGCAGGATAAAACAAAGAGAATATTCCATGCAGAGCAAGAATAAGGATCTATGTCTGCATTTTGCCAATCTTCCATCTGTGTTCTCGTCAGCTCATCGTCTTTGGGATCTTTGGTGCTTTGTTCAAGGCGGCGGAGGTGGCGTCTGACTCATCACTTCGAAGTTTGCAGTGTTTGTTCAGTTGTCGCAGTCTAAGCTGGATTAGGCAAAGCTAGACGCGAAGTGGGGCCTTTGATGCGCGTTTGTTATGTAATAGCCGGTGGCTTTCACCGGGAAACGCCCAAAGCGAAAGCCTTCAATGTAACTTGATTGCGAGAAATCTTTCCTGCCGCGAGAAACCGCACTTGCACCAACCCCAACTGGCTGCCCAATTCCTCCTCAATTCAATCAATTGTAAAAATGTATTCCATTCGGGTTGCGCAAAAGGCGCAGGTATGCTTTTCGGCTGCCGTTTCCACTGAAAATGCTCTAACTAACCTGCCTTGATCTACAGTCCGTATTTCGAAGCGCTGCAAAATCTCCGTGTTTTCCTCATACTAAAATCCCTGCGAGATGTCAGTACCCCAGTCATTCAAGTTGAAGAAATTGGAACTAACTTCTGTTCAGGTATCACCACCGTGCAGTCCGACATTTTCAAACCCACCAAATACGGCGGCAAATACACCGTGACGTTAATTCCGGGTATGGGTGTTGATTCTCGTTGACCCCGGCTTCACCATATGACGATTGCTGACACCTGGAAAACAGGAGATGGAATTGGTGCTGAAGTCGCGGAATCTGTGAAAACAATTTTCAAAGCCGATAACGTACCCATCGAATGGGAACAAGTTGACGTTAGTGGCGTGGATACGGGAAATAAACATTCAGAGGAATTGTTTAAGGAGTCTATCGCATCTTTGAGACGGAATAAGATAGGCCTGAAAGGTATTTTGCACACGCCGGTGGAACGATCGGGTCATCAATCGTTCAATGTGGCTCTCCGACAAGAACTCGACATCTATGCCTCGATTGTTTTGATTAAAAACATTCCTGGTTATAAAACGAGGCATGACAATGTGGACTTGTGTATCATTCGCGAGAATACTGAGGGGGAATACTCCGGTTTAGAGCACCAATCCGTCAGCGGTGTCGTTGAATCGCTTAAAATTATAACCCGAGCCAAGTCCGAGCGTATCGCAAAGTTTGCATTCAGTTTCGCACTCGCTAATAACCGCAAGAAAGTGACATGCATTCACAAGGCCAACATTATGAAGCTTGCTGATGGCCTTTTCCGAAGCACTTTCAAGAAGGTCTCTGAAAGTTACCCTACACTTGAAGTCAACGACATGATCGTCGACAACGCATCTATGCAGGCTGTTTCTCGACCGCAACAATTCGACGTAATGGTCATGCCTAATTTATACGGAGGTATACTGTCAAACATTGGTGCAGCGCTGGTGGGCGGCCCGGGCATCGTTCCAGGATGCAATATGGGTCGAGACGTTGCTGTATTCGAACCCGGTTGTCGGCACGTTGGTCTTGATATCAAAGGCAAGGACCAAGCAAACCCAACAGCCTTGATCCTTTCGGGCTCTATGCTTCTCCGTCATCTCGGTCTTGACGAACATGCAAACCGTATATCCAAGGCAGTTTACGATGTAATTGGTGAAGGGTACGTTGTCATCCACCCCTTGAATTCGGATGCTCCTTTACTCGATGGGGCTCACTGGTCGTTCGATGAACTAACTTGTCTAGTGTTATTCGAACTCGGGACATGGGTGGTCAGGCCACTACCCACGAGTTCACTCGAGCTGTTCTAGATAAAATGGAAGCAGCCCTTTAAATGTTGATGGAGTCTTCCAGGGATCAGCAAAACCGCTTGCCTTTGTTTCCCCGCTTGAGTTTTTCTTTCGCGGGCGCCGACTTTTCCAAGTCACCCATGTCATCGATTTCAGATACCGAACCAACGGTGGAACCCTCGTATCTCATCGCATTTTGAACGAAAACATTTTCATGAATTTCCCGAAGATACGTTTTCGGCCCTATTCCCTTTACTCTAGAAACACGCTTGTAGATAGTCCAACGACATGTTCCCTAGCATCTTGCATTTGTTTGCATGGCATCCCTCTTTGAAAATAAAGCCTTGTAAATTATGCATGAGTAGCCATCAAACCTGCTGTTTCTCATTTCATTTCTCAGAAAAATGCTCTTGTTTGGGCTTACTTTGAATTTTTGTGTGGTCAAACAGATGTTAGCATATAATGTTCACCGTCCCACATAGAAATTAAGATGAGATCATAAAATAAAACTACATTGAAACTTCAGAATCGCCTTGACTTTTGGCCTCCCCAGGCTCCCATCAGCTCACCCGTTTCAGAAACCCAGTCTCGCACTCCGTCAACCAGCGCCTTGGCCATTCCTTTGCTTTTGCTCCTTCCCTCACTGCTAGCATTTCCTAGAGATGAAGTTGACAGTTCATTTGCACCGATGGACGAACCTGGAGTATAGCCTGAACCTGTAGTGGGCAAGACGTTCTCGCCGGCGCTCAAGCTAACGAATAACGAGAAGGGGACTAGCCACACACAGAGTCCAAAGTATGACGCTACCTCTGTGAATGAGGGTAGATCAACGCTTGCTCCATAGTATTGGCCGTGTGACGAAAAGGGCATTGAGGAAGAGGAAGTTCGGTTATAGTTGGTTTGCGAGGTTGTGGGATCCGAAAAATGCCGGAACCATAGCCAGTGGTTCAAGCCGACGAGGAGACAAGAAAGGATGAAGAGAGGATCCGATAGCTTGACGATTGGAAAACGCCGGAGGTTGCTGGCATACACTAGGTGTGAGACTATGCTGAGAAGGGTGAGAGAAAAAGGTAGCCCGTCAATGAGCCAGAGGAGTATGTGAAGAAGAATGATGGCTTGGATCAGCCGCGAGAGAACGCGACTGGCAAGCACGGTGTGCTCTTCTACCAGCTCGGAGAGATAGTATAGTCCAGAAGCTGAAACCAAGGAAGATGCCACATTAGAAACCAAGAAATCTGTGTAGTGGTGCATTGGAGCACATACCGATCGCGAGAGTCAGGAAGCAAAAGCCCACTATCACTCCCAGGTAGCCGATAAGGGGAAGAACCCACATCTCAATATTTCAAGCGAGTCTGGAAATCCGAAAAACTTAAGAAAAAGGCACCTTGTCCCCATTCGGAGGTTTTGGTAGCTGTTGGATTTGGAGCTGGCGAAGTCCTCAATTATGCGTAACAAATCCGAGCCCGAAACAGAACACACTTTTTGACTTGGAGGCTATAGATTATTCCTGGGAAAAGCGCCGACACACACATTGTCAACATACTCCAGTGTGTGACCGAACAATGGAGAATCGAGGTCAGTCCGCATCTACAGACATCCCATGAAGCCACAACAACTTCTTTTATTAGAGTTTCATAGGTCACGAGCTTGGCTTTGGTGCTAAACTGTCGTTGTCGATCTTCCACACTCGAAAATCTGGCTGCAAGAAAAAGATCTATCCGTCGAACCCCTTCAAATTAGCGAGTCCGTTTACATACAGGCTGCAATAATGTCGAGACCAGAAGACTCTCTGTACGTGGACTTGTTTGCTGTTGACAAAAGTGTGATCTAAGGCTAAATATGAAAATAGACCGCCCGATCTTTACTACGATGACACCGAATCACGAAAGTATACATCGTCCTCCCGGATTCAAAATATTCAATCGGACATGACCCATCGCGCCCTTGAACTCTTAGAACTTACTTCCCCGTCGTTTATCCTTGATATTGGTTGCGGTTCTGGCCTCTCAGGCGAGATTTTATCATCCGTTTCGCCGTCCGAAGGCGGCCCCCACACGTGGATTGGCATGGATATTTCTCCCAGCATGCTTGATATTGCACTCCAAAGAGAGGTTGAGGGCGATCTCTTTTTAGCCGATATTGGTCAAGGGGTTCCGTTCCGCCCAGGAACCTTTGATGCTGCTATCAGCATCAGTGCCATACAGTGGCTATGTAACGCTGAAACGACAGACGTTAGCCCTGAGGGCCGCCTGCGCCGCTTTTTTGACGGATTATATGCCTGCTTGCGCCGCGGAGCACGTGCCGTCTGCCAGTTCTATCCCAAAAATGACGCCCAGCGAAATATGATCAGCGCCGCTGCGATGAAAGCCGGATTCGGCGCAGGTATCTTAGAAGATGACCCTGGAACGAAGAATGGAAAACTTTATCTTGTGCTCACAGTTGGCGGTGGTGGGCTACAAGGAGATATTACAGGAGTTGTTAAAGGGATGGATGGTGTCGAAGTCCTAGATGCTAGGAGGAAATCCCAGAATACGAGAAAAGGAGGAGCGAACCCTGCAGATATCAAAGGAAGTAAAGCCTGGATTTTAAGAAAGAAAGAGCAGATGGCGAGAAAGGGCAAAGTGGTAAAAGCCAGTTCGAAATATACCGGAAGAAAGCGGAGGATAGCTTTCTGATCCGAAGTCCCAAATGTGCCAATATTTTAAAAGCCTTACGTCGAGCAATAACGGCACTAGGGTTTGAGCGGAATTGCCGAAGAGCATAACAAGCCTATTGACCCAAGTAGCCAAATGCCGCCTCGCTGGGAAGCAGTCCCATTGACCAGCCCGTCTTTCGAACCATGTTGATGACTGTCGGGACATGGATTATAAATGCCATCGGTTATCCATGTGGATTCATTGCGGGGAGTTAACCTGGTGGCAGTTAAATACTTCTCTGAAAATTCAGCTTGCATTGTGGTGGGTCAACACAGATTACGGAGAGGCTGCTTATGGCTGTGAACCTTCCCCAATTGCCCCAGTGATCAGAGCTATAACATGGGTGAAGTATGTGCAGTGCTCCCTATTTGAAAACCAAACATCCGGGTCGAGCGGTATAGATGGTTGTTCTGCAGGTGGTATAACTTCATGCATGTATATGCATCCATGAAAGTGTTGGGAAAATGATTTGATTTGTACTAGCCCTTCGCAACTTTTCGCGCTGTCAGGAAAATAAAGAAAAGGATCATGAGAACTGCCTGGCCACCAAGGGATTGACCTAGTAACTACGTATATACGTTTATTTCAATAGGCAAAATATCATATATACAATCTCATGCATTGTGTACATCGAAAAACATTCGGAAGCATACGGACATGTAGTACTTCGGCGGCATGCGTTTATTCGTGAGTCAATGCAATATAAGGGTTGGATCTTTAATTGGATTTAATTATCGGATGGATAATAGTCATATACAGGAGGGACTGCAGCCTCAGAAAAGATGAAGCGAATAAAAGAAAACAGTCCATCAAAAATCCACGTTGAAAGAGGCGGTAGGGAGAATGAACGTGGGCAAAAACGCAGAAATGCAAATGGGGTATACATATATTTTCAACCCAGAACAGTCAATGCGCAAGGCATCTACCTCAGCGAGAAGTGGAGCGTCAATAGTAAATACAAGCCTCAGTTTAGACGCTGGCCCATCCATGAAAATGTCAACAAAGTCACGCAAGGGTAATGTAAAACATAAAATGAATATCATAGACGAACCGCAAAGCCTTTCAGCGAGTTTCTTTAGAGGTTTGGTAGCGTTGCATCTCATTGGACCATGCCAACTAGGAGGGGAAGCAGTTGGGACATCTGAGAGCTTTTGAAGTGGTTCATTAGAGGGTGTAGGAGCTAAAGGAACCGGTTGCATGCTTAAATCAAGGGTCGGTGAAGAACAAATAAAGAATACGACAATGAAAGGTCTAGATGTGAAGCTAAACATCGAAGAGTGCCATCGAGGCTTTTCAACGACCATCGTTGGCACAACGGGGACAAGGTGTAATGTCGAAGGTGGGATTAGCAAGTTCGTGGTTGGCGACTAAGATCGAAGAACTGCATAGGCGACGGCATGTGTCGTGGCTTCAGCATATAATACTTTCATTTTCCAGCATCCATAAAAAATAGAGAGCTTTCCCTTCGTTTACTTTTCGATGTGGGCGCCCCAGGCGCAAGTAAGCCGTTGATGGAACGAAGATGTGCCAAATTTGGCTCTTCATTCTGTTGGTGCGGGATTGGAGGCGGATCGTAAGTAGGATGTAGAGGGACGAAACCGGTATTATAGTTTGCCCGTCGTTTGGGGTCCTCCCCCGCGTCGGCTCTATGATGGTCAAAAGAACTGTGATCATAGGCAGGAGTAGGTAGATCTGAAAACATCTGATGTCTAGGGGACCGAATGTCTTCTGGGTTTAGGTGTTGATTGTTTCCCACTAGCTCAACCGGCCTTGGAATGTGGCCGATGGGCGGATAGTCCCGAAAGATGGCATCGAAGTCTGTGAGAAACAACGAAAAGACGGGAGCAGGCATGTTCAGCGTTGGAGCAAACACAATACCGACGTTGCGAACGGTCATCTTGTTCACATCAGCATTTTTGATGATGACTATCAAGAATTGAGAAAGAGCTTTAAGTAGATCAAGATTCGGCCTAGGAAGCCTGTGGACCAGGCTATTGAACGCTGCGATCTTTTGATGTTTATCATCCAAATCTATACATGAACTGTTAGCAGAGAAGGGTATAGTTGATATCAGGCAAGGGTGCATACCGAGAACACGGATGAAATCCAAATGAAGCTCTTTAGTCAGGACCGTTGTCGGTAACTCTCGTAGGTATTGTTTGAAAAGCGAAGCAACCGCATGAACATCGTAATACCGGTCGCCATCGAAAAAGTCCAAATCGCCTTCTGTGTTGAATCGTTCCTTTAAAGCCTTGATAACCACATTTGAGCCACTCAATCGGAAAATGCCTTCTTCCAACTGAGCGTTTTGGGCTCTGAGATATTCAAGGCAGCGGTAGACAACAGCAGGAAGCCCACAATCGTATCCTCGAGGGCCACAGAACTCCACGGCCTCCGCCAAAGGAAGGCCAAAAACGGGACGTATAGGTGCTCTCTGATCAAGAAAAACATCGTGTATCGAGCCAGCTGACTCTTGCCTTAGCCCTTGACCGGCTAAATCTGCCGCGGTGGGAGCTCGGAAACCCCAGATACTACGCTTCTTTTCCTTTGTCGAAGTTGCAGTTCTATTCCCCCAGGCGCCTGCATCCTGAATTTTCATTCCATTGGTCGGTCCGGAGATGGTCTTGTGAGTGGGCGACGAGTTATCATGCTCAAAATGGCGCCCCGAATGGTCCACAAAGTGACCAACTGGAGGGGTTACCTTGCCGCCACTAGGGCCACGCACGGGGGCCTCTGCAGCGACAACGTCATCATAACTAAACGCTTGGAGCATATCCGCAGCCCCTGACTGACTGTTTTCTGGACCTGGCTTCTTTGAATGAGCAGGCTGAAGCCGTGACCGAGAGGGGACGTTGGAGGTAGATTTCATGGTTTGGGTATGACCGCTATGATAATCCTCATCCACTTCACGAGGCTCCACGTAACAAAGAAGGGTTTCAACCCACCCATCCCTTTCGTTGTCACTCTCAGCGCACAAGACATGGCGAACTAGTGCCGATGAATCTCTCTTCTTTGGTTCTAAAATTAGGAAAGCATGTCGGTATTGGTTTTCCGAATCATCCTCCCCCCGCGAGGGTGATTGGTTTTTGCCGGATGGTGATTGCTTGCCGATTTGTGCGTGTTGGATTTTTATCGTTCCAAGGTGAGGTCCACCGGGAGATTCATAATATTTCAACTCGGGCCCATTAAGAACGAAGTACCTTGATTTCCATCCGCCAAAGTTCTTTCCCCTTTTCGTGAGATAACCCTCCATCCTTGGTTTCCCGTCAGGGCCGAACGATATTGGGGGTTTCCCGTTCCCGGGTCCGTGAAGTAAATTCGATTCGTCATCTCGAGGTTCGATGGCGTCCGTGCTGAGAAATTGGCACACCACTAACGCCGCATCTTCATCCATGGGGTGGGTAAGCAAAGATTCAAAGTAGGCATTCAAAGCTGCCCTCCTAGCATCGACCTTTGCAGGAGAATGGCCGGTAAACACGGATCTCTCTGGTAATTTCGCGGGGAAATTGCTAAGTTGTTTTATTTGTTGGTCCAGTTGTGGGAGTGAGATGATAGCTTTCTCAACACGCCAGAGTTCGACATGTTTTACTCGGGAGTAAACGCTTAAAGTAAACACAGGTTCCTCCTCTATCGGTTTTAGCGCAAGATAGCTACTTCGCGAAGGGCGTAATCTTGACGACGAGACCCTTACATCAATGGAGGGCAACGAGATTGGCGTCAGGAGTAAATCAGGATAATCAGCAGACACCATCCCACGGTATATAGTGTGGGATGTTCTACCTACAGAAACAGGGCTATCATTGTCAACTGTAAGCTTGTATGTTGGAATATCAGTATTCGAGGGCTTGGCGTCGCTTCCAGTGGGCTGGTCACTCGGATCCTTGGTATCGTCTCCCGTAGTGACCTGCGGGACAATGGGGTCGAACATATTTTGGAATTGGCCTTGCACTATGTTCCTCGGTGAAATTGGTGGGGAGGCTAGAGGACTGGAATCTTTCGGAAAACGTGGGGCTGGTGAACCTAAGGGGCGGTCCCCAGGCCGAGGACTTAGTGGTAAACCTGGACTAAGAGGTGAGGTCAAACGAGACTTGTCGGAAGCACTTGAATCAGACACTTCAGGGTGCAAGATGGCGGAGACAGCCGCTGGGGGCGGAGATTGCATAGCGGCAAGTCTGGGAGAGGGTGCGAAACCGGAGCGTGGGCTCGCGGGAAGGCCAACGCCGAGTAAGGTTTGGGTGTGCTCTTTTTGAACACTCTCGGAGGGTTCGGGTTGCTTAAGTTTCTTCTTATTTGATCGGCTTCGAAGCTCTTGCTCCTTCAGCATCATGGCCTCCCGTAACCTATCATCCTCTTCTCGCGTCTTTCTCCTTCCTCGTTCCACCGTTGGAATTTCGTTATCGTCCAATATCTCGTCGTATTCGGAGTCAGCGCTAGCTTTGCGGTTATCGAGGACAATGCGGGGCCTGACTTTCTGAGCTTCATCTAACTTCAAGGGTGCTGGAGGGGGTTTCCTTGCAGGGAGTGGGATTTTGGCAGTGTCTTTAACGAGCTGTGAGCGTTCAGGAGGGGTTAAGGTACTGATATCGGTTGAAAAAACCTCAGTTGCGACAGTGTTTTGTAGTCCAAGGTCTTGTTCGCGGACATCATCATCCACGACCCCCAAACCGGTCTCTAGAGACTCTTGGTTTTGAGTCGAATTCACTGTATGCGGGGAGGCTTCAGAATGAGGGTCTGTTGGAGTTTGGGTGTCGGTATCCGTAGATTGTGGTATACTGTTTGGTGAAGAATGAATCTCGTCGGCAAAAAAGGATCCGCGCTCAACATCGTTGGGCTCTTGCGCGCTTTGAGCCGTCTCCGCATGACCGTCATTTCCGAGCCCGTGTTTCTCGTTACGCTTTTTGCTCCAGTCGTTTCGAGCTGTGGAACGGGGTAAATCTGAGGGGAGTGGCGGGGGAGCATTTTGAATTTCTTTCAGGCGCTTTTTATACCGGTCTTTCTCCTTCATGGCCCGTTCCAGATCCTTATTCAGGGCCAGTAACATTGTTCGTTGCTTGTCCACCAACTTCCATAGCTGCGCGTTTTGGGAGGCGGCGTGTTGTTTTTCTTTGACTAAATGGATGATAACCGCTTCGGGCGATCCGGCAGCCGAAACCAGATTCGCGATGTCCGCAGGAGTGACATTGTTTGAGTCGAGCGAAGACTTGTGCGAATGGGACGCCGATGAAAGCGACGAAATAGCGGAATCTATTGACGATGTGCGCGGCACCGTCCTCTGACCCTTGCCATCTGCCATTGCGGAGACATGAATGGCGCTCGACGTCGGCGGTTTGGCAAAACCGGATGGAGTGACGGGATTGGCCCTGATCGCAGCGGGCGATGCGGTCGAGCCGGTGCTGTGCAGCGTGGGTTTGGGTGTTCCACCAGGAGGCCTCGCGGTTGACACCGAGTTCGATGAGCGAGATGAGGTAGTGGATGCGGGCGACACACACTCCGGTATTCCGGTTGGAGGAACCGGGAACCCCGAATGAGTTACCAATCGAACTGGCGAACAAGGGCCCGGAGCGGTGGCAGCGCGGCCGAAGTTCGTGGTGGGCTTGACGGTCCGTTGAAGGTGAGAGTCGAGCTGGGGTGAACGATGGTTCGTGGGAGCTGCAGGAGCAGTCGGGAAACTAGCAGATGGGAGTTCTTCAGCCTGGCGGCTTCTGGGATGGGCTCTTGGAGCTGGGGCGGTTCCACCAGCGCTGGAGCGCGCAATCACCAGGTGGTTGGGCGGGAGAGGAGTGGCAGCGGTGGTTGAAGACGAAGAAGAAGAGACAGACTCGAAGACGGGTAAAGGGGAAGGGACCACGTAAGGATGCGAGGCAAGAGATTGGATTTCCTCACCATGGCGCTGCCGCCGTGGTTGCGACATGGCTCCCCAGTCCAACCATGCAGGGGGAAGTGGGGGAAGGATGGGTTTGCTCGCTGGGTTGCGATGGAGATGGCTGCGATCAGGTGGACGGCCCCAGGGGGCTGCTCTGTGTAATTTTAAATTCTCTCCTCTGATGGACTAGAACTAGCTAGTTGGCTAACTAAAAGCTCGTTACAACGACCAGTTCCTTCGCTGAGGATCGCAAGCTAATTCCACTCTGCGCGTCTGGGCTGGTGCTTTGGGATGGTGATTGGCCACGGGCGACTTTTAGTCGGCTTTCTCGCTGCTTGTCATCGACTCCTCCAGCCGCTCTGCATCCCGCTGTGCAGACACTCTCTGGCTGCACTGTCGCTGCGTCCTGACTTCCTCGCCGTACCTGGTAACGCAAGACATCGCAACAAACCCTCACTGCCGTCCGCGTGGCCGGAGCATGAACTTTTGGCCATCTTGTAACTGTTGTGAGTCGTCAAGCAGTCGGATGACGACTTCATTACTAAGTGGCCCCGTGCAAACCCCCGAGATTCCGCCGGTCTGGGACTTGCGGCTTGGTCGAGGCACCGAGATGCGAAAGATGAATGGCTACGAGAAATTGGGCTTCACACATCTGGTTTTAGATTGTGCACGGATTAGTTGTACAGAAGATAGTTTTATAGTATACATTACCGCCCATGCCCTTGGTCAAAATGAAATAATACTCGATATCCAAGACGCCTTCCCCGATGCCATGCTCCCTCCTTTTATCGTCTAAGCAAAACGGGGGACGATGCTAGGCAATGTTGCCCGCCATTCCCATGAAGATTGCCTGAGCCGCAAGCTGGAGCGACCAAAGACCAACTTTCTTGAGCCGTCGTTTTCGCGCCTGCTCATCGACGACATCTCTCGCGAAAGCCTCGTATGTCTAGAAAAAAAGAAAAATGTCAGCCAAACCGCCAAACAGAACTCACTTTGACGAGAAACTTGCCTCTGCTGATAAATCGTCCATCAGCCCACTATCAAATACAGTCCAACTGCCATCAAAGTCGCTCACTCGCTTTACAAGGCGGCATTGGATCGGGATAAATGTACGTTTAGAGTTGATGTACGCCACAATCGGCCGGATGAGTGCATTGTTGATGTACGAAAGGTCTCGTGTGAAAAGAGGTACCACCGCTCTCACGTTAGTCAAGTCGATGCGAAGGTCGGTGACGAGGAACCGCTTGTCGTTCTTCTTGCTTGTCGTAGCCGCGGCGGTGTCAGCATGATTCTCCGGGTTAACGGACAGAGGCTCTGAGGTGACCTGGTAGCGATTGGACGTGACCGTGGCTTCTAAGCGGTCATAAAAATCGGCCATAACCTTGGCCAGGCTTTCGTCGTTCTCCGCTGGGAACATGATATCCGCCACGATATCCACGTTTCCTTCGTGGATCCAGGAGAAAGGACCTTCGACACCGCGGTTGAGATGGTCAATGTTGAGTCCATCAATGCGGATTCGGCTGTGCTTCTTCCAAGGACTGGATTTCCCGCTCTCCTCTACCCCATTGATCAATTGCGCTCCTGTGTAACTGTGGGTTTGTCGGGGGTGGATCGTAAACAGCGAGTTGTCAAACGATCCCGACATGATATTTGCGGATAAAAAGTCGTAAAAAAGCCACTGACGCCTCAACTGCGGTAGGTGACATGTAAAAATGCTGACGGAAAAGGGGCGGAAGTTCTTTGGTTGGTAAACTGTGACGAGAACATCCTCCATCTTGAAGGAGTCAATTTCGAAATCGCCTGGGTTGTGCTCATGGCGATAAGACTTTGGGTCGACATTCTCGTCGGACCAGTATACATGAGTCCGGTCCACTACTCCGCGTATGCCCTTCACCTCCACGTCCCGTAGGAGCCCCTTTCCATTAAACCACTTTGTAAACGAAAGGGTGACGTTCACTGTGTCAATTGTGACATCGAATTGAGTGTAATTTGTGTCTTCGGCTTCGCTTTTCTCTTCGCCCTGCTGGGAGGACGGTAGGACGCCGTGCAAGGCTGCCGCAGCGGCGGTTTTGGACGAGCCTTTGCTCACATTCCCACCTGCCATCCGCCAGGCCTCCTCGACACAAACACGTTC